CGGCTCGTTGCCAACGCTGAGCTCCGACTGCCAAAGCTGCAGCCACCTCATGTTTGCTGATCATTTGTCTTCCAGAGTTCATTTTCTAACTAAATACAACATAAATGCAACACAGCTCTGCCAACTTGGACGTCTATGAATTAGTTTATTCCCACCAGCATCTGAACACAGGAATCTCTGACCTATTGAGGCGATACGCACATCTACAATCCATATGTAACATTTACGCATTAATATCCAGTCTGAAGCCACATTTTTACCATCCACTGTTTAGATCTTGGTGCTTTTTAACTCTAGATTTGAACCAGATGAAGGATTTTAGTAATCGGACGTCTGGATCTTAAGTTATCAGAGAAACAAGCTGAGCTAACGTTAGCAGCAGCTCGGCTCGCAGGGAAAATCTGATTTTGTGAGTTGCGGTAATTGGAATCAATTATTAATAACCCAAGCACTCATGTCCTACTGCTTATACACTATACTATACACAATATGGGAAACTCATCTTTGATTAAATAAGTTCATCAGTTGTTGTTATTTTAATCAGAATTAAATTTAGAATCACTTTTATTGGCCAGGTATGTGCACACATACAAGGAATATGACTCAATGATAGAAAAGCGCTCCTTTAAGGAAAAATGTGCCCTCTGTGTCATATTAAAGTCAAGGAGCCACAACAAGAGGCAAAATGGATTCTCGACACACACAAATAAACAGTCAGTAAAACAGAAACTGAATGATTCATATCGCAACCAGAAACTGCAGTGATGTACCATCCGTGTTTATTTGCATACAGAGCGGAGTAAAGATCTGATCACAGGTGACTGGAGACGCATGCGGAGCCACAATCTGATGCCGGGTGTACACTGGACCTGGGTGTCTGCTGTCGTCACTAACACAGCGAACTCTGCAAACCCACACCTGAGGCGAGCCCGCTCTCCGATTGGTGGAAGTCTACCTCGCACCACGCCCACCAGTTCAAATAAAAAACAAACCCTGTAACCGTCCTACGGGCTGAACCGACTGACTCCGCTGTGTCAATACACACTCCACCTGCAAACACACTGCAGGTCCGGCTGAGCCGCTGCTGCTTTTTGATTGGACATAAGAAAACTGGATATTGGCCAATCAGTGGCGCCCACCTCTGAATAAAACCTGCCTCATCCTGCCTGCAACAGCTGCTGCTGGAGAATTTTACTGCTTCAAAATGCAATTTAAGAGATTTTCTTCTCTGCAGAAAGTATTTTTATTGTTGTGGGCTCCAATTATAGGGATTTTTTTACACATGGCCGCAGTATCGTGCAAAGTAATGAATAAATTTTGGGTTTTTAGGGGTCAGTTTTCATGCAAATATGTCATATAAAATGCCAATATTCAATATAATTATCTTATCAGGGTAAAAGTGGTTTTGAACCAATATTTAAACCCACAGCTTTAATTTCTTTAGCGTCCAACGATCAGCAGTTTAAATCCTAACACTCGCTGGTTTGTGCAGGTTGTTTCTCTGCACCAGACTAAAACCTGCACAGGAAATAAAGCGATTGTCTTTGGACGGGACAGAAAATGAGCGAGTGATGAAAATGTGCAGTCTGAAACTGTAGTCAGACTCTATTTATAGTCCCTGCACCGACTCTGGTCCAGACTGTTTTGGCTGCAGCTCAGTAATTAGAGACGAGAAACCTTCTGCTAACGGATGTGTCACTGTCAACACGTTCATGTCTCTATAGTTTGGGACAATGCGCGTTCAATGTTCAATTATGCACCAATAAGCACAATATGAGAGCAATGGGATATTAATGACAAGGGTTCCTCTATCCAAGCTCCCAAAACACACTGAACCACATAAAGTGCTGAAAATAACACATTCTTTAAGACCATTGTATTAAACACAGGCTGTGTTTACATACTGTAGGTCTTTATACCATTCAGTTTGTCAGTTCAACTGTTTCCATGAACCTCTTCACACCCTACAACTACCTACAAAGTTATTTCCACACAAGACCCAGTAATTATACATCTAGTTCACTGCGAGATAAATGAGCAATCAGCGGTAACTACTGCATGCTTCAGTGTTTAAATGCTTAAAGAAACATAAAATGTCTGTAAATTGCAAACGGAATACCATCTGAAAGTTAAGGATTAAAGCTGAAGAATTAAAGTTAAACATGGGTTTTGTAAATCCAAAGATTTGTGATAAAAGCAAAAATGTCAAGACTTTTCAATATAAGAATTCAAATATTATACAATTATTATACATCAATTTTGTGAGTTCAAAACATTCTTTATTAGGCACTTAAGTCACCTAAAATTACTGATTTTAAGTGACTTAAGTTCTAGCTGCTTAATGAAGAGTGTTTTTAACTTACAAAATTGAGTTGAGTGCTATGTAAAATTCATCAGGTGTCAGGTTTTACAGTACAGAATAAAACCTGAAATCTTTAGATTAGATTCACTCAATTTTAGGGGAATATGTAAAATGTCAAAATTGAGTGTTGAATTTGGGGTTTTGTAAAACGTGAAATACTAGACTAAACAATGAAACCCGGGATTAAATCTGGGATTGGACCTACATATTGGTGTTTTAGACTCTTTTTGAAATGTATAAGAGACTTAATTAAGAGTTTTATAGTAGTATAAGGGGCTAAAACAGGTAGACACCAGAGTGCAGAAATGTATACACAGCATTTACTGACATCAAATTGTACCCATGATGCTTTGTGGCTCGGAGTGTATTTACACTGTCAATGTTACGGTGGAGCCGTCATCAACAAGAGCACGGTTGAAGGTCCAAATCCCTTCATCAACAGACAGTCTTTGTCCGGCCTCAACCACCGTGAGTCCCTCATCGAAACCGTCTTCACTGTAAATACGAAACACTCTGGTTCCCAGTTCGCATTCCTCTCGGCTCAAACTGTTGGCCTCCATCTGTGGTGGCTGGAAGCTGGTTTACTTCCTTGTCAAATGCCCTTTTCCTTAAAGACTGGGTTCTTTGTTTCAGCTGCGATTAGCTGGCAGATATAAAGGCAGGCAGGCCGATATTTGAGACTATTGTGCACGCCTGCCTGCTTCTGGCACTCAGAAATATTCCCCCTCTCTCTCGCTCTCTTCCAGGGAGGGCTCAGCAGCCAGATGTAGCCTACCGTACAGAGCCTGCTGCAGCAGCCTCACACTGTTTGTTTTACTCAGCCTCAATGCTCTCACAAGCGTCCATGAGCTCACCGAGTCTTCCGACCTTTGGCCCTTCCATACCGCTGAAAGCCTCCCTGGTTTTTTTTTTCTTTTTAAAAAGCACGAGCACCAATGAGAGAGCAGGGAATCTCTCAACCAGGAAGCAGCTGTTTAACCGTTACACCTGAACAGAAACCGGTTTTAAAACGCTCACAGTGTTTTTATAATCTGACAGCCACTTCGAGTCCCACAATGAAAAATAATAACTCCAGGAGTGACTCAGGTGTTGCTGCCGTTACCTGGCCAACGTTACCATAGAGAGGTGTGGATAGTGATGTCATAAATCAACCACAATGTGTAGTTATTAGCCGTGAGTCACAGCTCGTGGAAGATTTACACAACCAGAATGCTCCGAGATTAACTGTCTGACAGACTGTACTGTGGTTTATTATCATGGTTGTTGTGGAGAACCTGAACCAAGATTACCTGTCGATTGGTCTATCGAGCTCATGCACCTGATAGAGCGACATAATCGTCATTCAGAAATCTTAACTATCACTATGTTGTTTTGTTTTTATTTAACATAATTTGATGAATAAACAGGTCAAATGTTTGTATTTTTTTTAAATGTATGACTCAATCTCAATACTTTTTTCAATTGTTTGGGTTTCTATAACGTTTTAGCTTTGTTGTACAGGTTTAAATCCTCACAGAATATTTTAAGAAAAAAGTAAGCTAACATAACTTATCCCTCCAAAATGAGTCACTCATTCCCATTAATTACATCCAACCCAAACATGAACTGTTGAAGTAATAACTGAGTTGTTTTGAGTGACATTAAATAAAGTATTGGTGATTTCCTTTAGTCTGTGAACACATTTTAAATAAGTTATAATACAACATATTCAGTAATAACACAGAACTAGTAAGTATATTACACTCATATTCAGAGTTTAATTAACTTAATTTACCTTCAACAATAAATGAGTTACTGGTACTCAAATCAAATACTCTTTTAGGAGTTAATACATTTAAACTCTTTCCTCAAACAGTTTGAGTTGAACTAACTAATCAGGTTTTACAGTAAAATAAGCAGAGTTGTGCCTCATTTGCATCATCATAAGCAAAGTAAAATGACTCCATCATATTAACAAATGACTTACTAACAGTAAATTCACAACAGAAAGTCCACAGTCCTCCATCATTCAACCTTTCAGTATCAATACATATCTCTGCTGTTTGGGGGCCAATCAGAGGCTCCCAGTGGGCTGTAGGTTCAGACTTCTATTAATAGCTTTACAGGACTTTTTTTTCTTGGAGGAAACAAGAAAAGAGGTACGGAAATACCACAGATCCACTGGGACCCCGTCCAGTCCCCCCGCCCCCCTCTGACCAGCGCAGTCCCAGTGTGGTCCCTTCCTACAGGGGGGCTTATAGTCATTCAGGGCTCATCTAAAGTACTTAATGACACCTTCGCTCCAATAAAATGCCTTTAATATTTCAGCAGGGAACCACAGTGAGTTTATGTTGACCTCCTATCACACTGTATTCACTATAACAGCCTACAGTGGGTTTATGCTCACTTCATTACACTTCATTGTGTCTGTATGCTTCAAATAAAACATTAATATTCCAATAAGAACTCAGACTGTTGCTGAGAATCTTCAGGATTGGTGAATAAACAGGATGATACACGTTTAAAGCTGTTTCCAAGTAGCCCACAGTTTATCATAGGACTCATAAAGTCTGACTAATGCAACAATGAATGTGTGTGTGTGTGTGTGTGTGTGTGTGTGTGTGTGTAGAGAATGAAGCAGTTAAAGACTTCTTCTTACCTCCGTGAAGAAATTATCCATTGCCCTCGTTATTTTAATCCCCGAGGATTGACTGTGTGGAAAGCGCGCGTCCGGTCAGTCCCACTCATGTGTTGTTAGTGTGATCCCAAAGCAAAACCAGAAAGAGGGAGCAGATCCGAGAGTTTCAGTCCATGATCTTCCTCCTGAGCGTGTGCAGGCTGGAGGACAGTCAGTCAGTCAGTCAGTCAGTCAGTGTGGAGCTACAGTAGTACATTTACTCTTTGTTTCATGGGTTACTCCTCCAGCAGAGTCCTTTAAAAGAACTTTCTCCTCCTCCTCTTCCTCACTCCTCTGTGCGCTCCTCTGTGCGCTCCTCCGTGCGCTCCGCTGCGCCTCCGTGCCCGCAGGTCAGTCCGGTTCGGTGCTCGGTTTGTTTGGTCAACAGTGAAACGTGCTGCAGGAGCTGAGTCTGCGAGAGGCCGGTGAAACTTTGGAGACGCTCACTCAGTCAGTCACTGAGACCGGCACACAATAATCCTGAAGCTCCACCTCCCCACCCAGCAGGGTCCTCCTCCTCCTCCTCCTCCTCCTGCAGCCCCACTGTCTCTCTGACTCCTCCTGCTGTCAGTATGTGGAGCCCAGCGCTGAATGGAAGACAGACTGGAGATGATGTCTGCAGGTGAAAAGCAGCAATGGATGGATGAAAGGAGGAAGATTGGACGGAGAGGAAACTCCAGATCTGATTAAAGCTCAAACAGAGAAACCTTCAGGTGAGGATGTGGTCAAAAGTGAACTTTGAACCTTAAACCAACGTGTCCAAAGTCATTAAAGGGCTCAGAACTACTGAGAATATGAACATTTAATATCCCATGAGATTGTTTCATCAACAAAATACAGTTTAATTCAGGTTTCAGCAAACAAGTGTTATTTTTAAGAACAGAATATCCTACAATCCACAGCTATGTCCATGACACCTGAAGACCATGTGATGTGGCTGAAAGCTCAGGAAAAAGACAGCAAGTGGACCTTTGGTTGGGGTCGTTATCTCACTATCTAAATTAGTTTAATGAAGAAGAGTCTTTTGCATTTTATTTATTTGAAGGACATGTGTGTAGGATTTACTGGCATCTCATACGAGGTTGATGAGGATATCAGGTGAAGTTGTAGATTGAAGCTAACTGAACACCACTCGCGTCTGTGTTTGACGACCTGGGAATGAGAACGAGCTGTGGGGTGTGTGGGAGGAACAGGATAATAATGCAAACAATAAAAGTTCTGTGACCGTCCGAAAGCTTCATATCTGAGAGAAATCAGCAGAATCTCATCCTGCTGACGTAAATTCTTCAGAAAATAAGAAAATGAAATACTGAGGATCTTCTGGCAGAAACTGCTTTTGTTCATCCAAGTTGTTAAGAAGGATCATTTTTCACATTTGCTACTGAAGTTGCCCAGTAGTTTGTGGATCCCTGAGTTCACTGGAGATACTGAGGGAGGTTTATATCAAACATTTACACAATAGTGATGATGAGTGCACAGATGAGATGAGTCACAGTTTGTTTTTTTTAATCCATCATCCTGCCGAACATTTCATCACGTTGCTGCAGGGGAGCCAGCAAGCTTCTTTGTTTTTGCCCTAAAATATGAATTCTCCTTTCAGATCTGATGACAGACATTTGACCTAATTTAAATTTCACAAAAAGCCTGTGACTGTGTGTGTGCGCGCTCAGATAATGCGCTATATGGTTTAGTGTTAACATTCTAGCTGTATGTTTATGCCGTCATGCGTGTGTGTGTCTGGTTTTCCCCTCGCCTTACTGAGCATACAGAACGACCCCTGACCCCGCTGGTTTGGGTCGCCATACGCCTGTCCTGTCATTGGGATTTAGCGCCCCCTGCTGCTGGCTGACAGGAGACCAGTTCTGACCCACAACCACGAATGAAATCACAGCTCACAGTCCACATTTTCCCACAACTGCATTAAGAAAAGGGCAGAGCAGGAGGATGAGGGGAAGGTGAGTTTATTGATATCTTAGGATCCTGAACACTTATATAAAACGGAGTCTTCTGAGCCTTTGATGATATTCACGGTTTTAGTGTGAACCCTTTGTATTCAAACGCTCTGGGCTTGTTTTGAGCTCATGCAACACTAATAACCACAATGTTGCATGTGGTTTTGCGATCCTGTGACTATCAGCAGCTCGTTTAAGAGGGAGAACACAATCTGAGCCAGCCACAGGAAAATAAAAAGTGTAAGGGTGCATTAGAAGGAGGAGACAGATGTTTGATATCTCAACCTCAGAAAGCTGAGGTCTGCACTAATGCTCATTTTCACATAATTCTGCAGGCGTTCTCATAAAAAGTCCATCAAGGCTGAGTGTTGGTGCACTTGGGTGTGATCTGGCACCAGAACCCGTATATGGCTGCCAGATTTGGGAGGTTTTGATGGCGCTGACTTGCACATTGAGCTGAGGGTTACTGTAGATCCAGCTCACATTACTTGGAACAAATGTGACCTTATTTTAACCTGACTTTAACCTGGAAGTCATCGTTGGAAACTCTTTCCAAAAATACCCAGGAGGTGATTGGATGAACTATCAGTCTATCACAACAAAATGTAGTCAAACTCTTAGTAAAATCAGAAAACATCAAGAAAAGCCTTCAGTGCTGTTCTTTGCTCTTCTTTCAATGAATAAATTCTCTCCAGTTCTGATATAGCCGATGCTAGCAGCACTTACGCTAGCAGCCGCCATTGTTGTTTAACAAACAGTATCTTCTCACTGCGTCACACCTAGAGCCCACCCTCACACTGCCAGTATTAACTCAAAGGGCCGGTACCACTGTACCAACCGCAAACACAATTCAGGTATATCTCCAGCACCAAGCATGATGACTTTAGGCCCGGCTACCTGAATTCATCCTCATGTAGGATTTATTGGTTGTACCTTGTTTTGAAATGGTCATTAGTACTTTCCAAAATGAAGATGTTGAGTAACTGAAAAAAGGGAAGTAATGTAAATATGGTTCTCCAAGGCAATCGAACTGTGTTAATTAAACAGTCCTTTTGTGTCAAAGGGTTTAGTCAAAGGTCCTTCTGAAAAACATCCTAACATTGAAAATGTCACAACAAACAAGCCAACAGCAGCAGGGTGTGCTAGGTAACACAGGGTGCTTCTCAGGCTCATAATCTGTCCCAACTGTCCAATAAAGAAACTAATTGTGAATGGCTTTGCTTAAAAACCCTGCGTGACATGTTAAGTAGGCAACAAGAAGCAACCAAGCTTTTCTCGATGAAAATGATCGAAGTCATTCGCTCTTCTCCCGACTGAATTCAGTAAGAGTTAGACTACGTTTTATGGTTCTTTGATCTGACAGTCTGTGCCTGCCTTTTTGCAATGGTTCAGTGTAACAAACCATCTGGCGCAGTCATGACATCTAAAAACCTCTCAGTTTTCCACCATATTTATCTTCGTTTTATCCTGCAAATCATCAGATCAATGCTGGGAAATTAAACACATAGAAAACATTGGCTTTGGTTGATTTTCTCTAAATTAATACACAGCAGTGATTGTGGACGTCCAAGTAAGTGCCTAAAGTTTTGGCGTTTTGTCGCCTCTTCTTGATGTATCCTCACAGCTGTGGATTTACTAACTCCTCCCAATCATTTGTCTCTGAGGTGTCCTCCACCTGTTATCACACTCCACAGGTCACCTGTCTGGACAATGTCACCTCAGTGACCCTTGACCTCTAATTCCCGACCGCTGACAGAGGTTAAGTAACACTCACTCCCTGTACCCATGGTCTTAAAGCCCCTAGGAGTTCTCAGTCAGGGTCAAACTGGATATAGTGAGAGGAATGGGTTCAGCCCACCTTTTCAAACGCACAATAATGCAGCTCCACCTCTGGTCTCGACCTTTTGTGTCAAGGATTTTTGGGAGTTGACATGTTGGTGTTGAGTTTGAGAGGAAGGCTGATCCTTCTGTTGAGTGAGGAGTTGCGGCGGAACCACTGTTGGATAACTCTGGATGTTCCAGTCTGTTTACGACAAATCACAAGTATATTTTTTACTTTTCCATTGACTTTTTACATCAATTCACACTTTATAGTACCAGCAATTGCCACACAAATGTATGGATTTCACAACTCATGCAAGTTTCAAGACTTTGATATATTACACAAATTAGAAATAATTGGGAATCAATGGCCGCTTTAAACAAAGTACAGTACATCCAAAAATGCTAAACCGATTAGCATGCATTTGACAAGAGTTAAAGAGCTAAAGGAGCAGGTTATCAAAGTTTAAGCAACTTCTTCACTTCACATAATTATTTTGGGTTTTTTTCTGTTGATTATTTACATGATTTTCTGTTATTGTGAATTTGTTTATCAGATTGATTTCACAACATTACATTAGATTAGGTCAGTTCAATTTAGTTTTTGAGCAAACTTTACCTGCTGGTCCGATGAAGATCATGAGATGGGGTTGAAAGCTACTGCATAGAAAAGATAGTAAGTGGACCTTGAGTTGAAATTATTTTGAGAAACTACAATTTCCATGGTCAAATAATGAACATTTCACACATGAACGTTTAGTTCGGTCTAGTTTACTCTGACAACTGAACAAACTCCACCTGCTGATCTGATGAAGATCATGAAATTTGGTTGAAAGTACACCATAAAGACAAACAGCATATCTTAATAAAAAGAAGAAGTAGGTGTACAGCTGTGGACTCTGTTTCAATAATGAGATACACTGAAATAGAAGTTACCATGATGTAACTCCAGCTAGTGGTGATATCAACGGGCAAAATCTGACTCTAGAATATCTGTGCAGCAGTTCGTCTCAGACTGTCCCTGTCTTATCTCTGACTCTTCTGACATGTTATTCTCTCAAATAGTTTGATTTCCTGCTCCTTTTGTTCTTCCAGTGCCTTCTCAGTTCTTACATGATCTCTCATGAGTGTGTGAGTGTGTGAGTGTGTCGGGTTAAAGACACTACTGTGGATGTAGAAACTGAACATTTCCAGATGTGGACTGGCATAAAAATGAACACACGTAAGGCGACTGAACATCAGCACAAAATATTGACTTTTGACAACTGAAATACAGATGTATCAGTACAGGCCGAGATCTCTAAGTGGTCAAACAAATTAAAGGATCACAAGCATGACAAAAGATGGGGCCACAGTTCCCCTGTTTCCTTGGACCGATCATCGAAAAGCACCGGAGGATTACGGGAGCCAGTTGTCTCTTGTTGTTTGATTCTTTGCCAGCATCTCCAAACTTCCAAAACAGGATGAGGAAGACAAACATTTCCTGTGGCTGTTTCTACCAAACATGTGAGATAACAGAGAGCCGGGGACTCCTGTTACGTCTGTCAGTGGTGAAGCCAAAACAGACTTCCTCCAAACGGCATCACGCTGAGAGGAAGATGCAGAGAGCGGAGGACTGACAGTGACACGTGAGAGACATGAAACACTTTAAAGAAGAAGGAGAGGATGGACAGCCAGGTAACATAAA